CAGCTTCATCCTGATCAGAGATGGAGCAAAAATGTGCCGGCACAAACATGATCGAATCCAGCCTCTGCGGGGGCCTCATTGGCCTGTCCAGGGATCTGCATTCGCGGAAATCCGTGGAATTCCACAAGGAACTCCGTGAGTTCAAAGTTTGGGTTTCGCATTTCGTATGATTCTGCGACATTAATGCTCGAGGTGCATTTTCATTGAGTACAATCATGATAATCATGTGCGTCTGGAAAGATTGGAAGTTCTGAACCTTTTCTCCATGACTTGTGGCCCACCTCTTTGGGCGTCTGAAAACATCTCAAGGGCAGATTAGCAACTTGCAGCAACTTGTAAAATGATGTAAAATGATGTAAAATGATGTAACATGATGTAAAATGTAAGTTGATGTAAGTTGATGTAAGTTGTAAGTGCCTTCCAACTTAAGGTCCCCAAGCCTTCTCTTCCATGAGTACAAGTTTTTCTTTGTCAAGAGGTGTCCAGTGCTCCTAGACATGTCAAGCGCTCAAAGTGGACATTTCAAGCAGAACGGCTTCCAATGGATGTGACACATCGTATTAAAGTTAGATCTGAGATGTCTGAGTACGCAGATGTCCCCTAGTCGAAGGAAGTTTAGAAGTCAAACTTCCGACAATATGGACAGATGAAAAGCAGAGCAGGGCAGAGGCAGAGAGAAGAGAAAGATTAGAAGAGAGAAGAGTAGAAGAGAAAGAGTCAGAAGAAAGAAGATACAGATGCGCGAAAAGGTAGGAAAGTCGCGAAACATTTTTCCAATGATTTCTGGCTCCGGAGAGTCGAAAAGTAGGCTCGCTAAAGCGGCGGGTGCGGAGCCAGCTGGCCAGAGAGATGAAAAAGTGCACGCCGTTGCGGCGCAAAGCACATTTCCAAGTCAAAATGTACAAATCACACCATTGTCGGACCACTTTTGGAAGTTGAGATGTCGAAAAAGTGCACGCCGTTGTGGCGCGAAGCACATTTCCAAGTCAAAATGTACAAAACACACCATTTCGGACCACTTTTGGAAGTTGAGATGTCGAAAAAGTGCACGCCGTTGTGGCGCGAAGCACATTTCCAAGTCAAAATGTACAAAACACCAGGGGTTCGGACCACTTTTGGAAGTTGCGATGTCGAAAAAGTGCACGCCGTTGTGGCGCGAAGCACATTTCCAAGTCAAAATGTACAAAACACACCAGGGGTTCGGACCACTTTTGGAAGTTGAGATGTCGAAAAAGTGCACGCCGTTGTGGCGCGAAGCACATTTCCAAGTCAAAATGTACAAAGCACACCAGGTCGGACCACTTTTGGAAGTTGAGATGTCGAAAAAGTGCACGCCGTTGTGGCGCGAAGCACATTTCCAAGTCAAAATGTACAAAACACCACATGTTCGCACCACTTTTGGAAGTTCAGATGTCGAAAAAGTGCACGCCGTTGTGGCGCGAAGCACATTTCCAAGTCAAAATGTACAAAGCACTAGGGGTTCGGACCACTTTTGGAGGTTCAGATGTCGCTTCGCTTCGCTTCGGGTCATTACACTACACTATACACTCCACACACTACAGTACATTACACTACACTACACTCCACAACACTACAACTACAACTACAGAACTACACAACTACACTCCACTACACACCGCTACACTAAATTACACTACACTACATTACACTACACTAGAAAGATCGATAGATAGATAGATACATAGAAAATAGATAGGTAGGTAGGTAGATAGTCAGAGAAAGAGAGAGAAAGAGTGAGAGAGATCAAGCACCTTTCAGTCCATCAGTGGCTTCGCTCTGCCATCCCGGATTCACAACAACCAAGCTCTCCTATAGGTTTCCTATTTTTGAAACTTCCGCCACCGCCTTGTGCGGTACTACTGGTACTGTCCGAAATTATCTGAATCTAAAAGCGAAACGATGCGAAACACAGAGTGCTCAACAACCGAACCATAAGCTCGGATAGCTAGGCAGCTAGGCAAGGCATGGATGGCATGGATGGCATGGATGGCATGGATGGCAAGGCTACAGGCTACACCTCTGGACGAGCTCCTCCAAAATCGCATGGACGTCTTGAACAGCGTGCACTGATACATGTCCATGCGTTGCCTGCGGGTCGACAGCTCCACACAGCTTCACAATGCTTCACAATGCTTCACAGCTTGACAAACGAACTGGTACGAGTCTCGCTACTAGTAGGATCTTGTCGAATTGTCTCGATTGTTGAAGGTTGAGAAGGTTGAGAAGGTTGGGAAGGTTGGAAATGTTGGACTGTGAAAGGTGAGCCAAAGACGGCCAAGCCTTGCCAAACATCTCGGAAAGAAGACCCCTTCAACAATTTCCAACATCCAGTGCCGAACATCGGGGGATGTTAGGGGTGTCTCCTCTGGCTGGAGCGGCTGGAGGTTCTGAAGATCCTCCTGCGTGATGTAGTGTCGCATGCCGTGCCGAGGCTCCTCGGAAAGATCTTCACATCGGAAGTCCGCACTCACAATCCACTTAATCATGATGTGGCAGCCTCTCTATAAATAACAATAACATAATATATCATAATATATAATATAGTATAGACAGCATGAGTCAATGAGTGGTTGTTATTTTATGTTATTTCCAGGTTCCTGTGAAAAGTTACGACGTGCACAAAGAGATGTTTGAAGCTCCATGGATTCCTACCGATGCCATCCCACTGCACCTCGCCAGGCACAGCCAGTCCAGGGAGGTTGGTACTGGAAGCGCTTTCATCTCGGCACCACCACGACCAACACGGTGATTTGACAATTTCTTATTTGGCAATTGAGGCTGGTGATATCTGGTGATATCTGGTGATGGTGCAATCATGTTCACCAAGCGCGGTCAAGTTACGAAGTTCCCCAGAAGCCATCACCTCTGGACAGCGCTGGAGGGATATGGAGGGATATGGAGGGATATGGAGGGATGATGGTTGTGCGGATAGGTGCAGCTGTCGTTATATCATGTTACCTTTGTATACCTTTGTATACGGTATATGACTTATATGACCTTATATGACTTATATGACTTATATGACTTATATGTGTGCAGGTTTGAAATGGTTTGAAAGTCGTCTACACCCCATCAATTCCAGTGGTGCGAGGCTTGGAAGTTGCAAAAAGTCTTGGAATGGTATCTAGCAGATTCTAGCAGCATACAGTAGCATCTAGATGCACTAAAATCATCTGTAAAATCATCTGTAAAATCATCTGTAAAATCTAGTATGGAATCATCTTAATCATCTCGCTTTGATTTTGCCTTGGACTGTGCAGAAAGAGGACGTGATGTGGCTGACAACGGTCGAGAAGGCCCCAGGCCCTGGCCACATCGGCACAGCGGTCTGAAACGACCGCCGTGTGGCATCTGAGATCTTCGTAGGACATTCATAAACAACAAGTAGATCAAGACTACATCAAGACTGAATGCTCTATGACTCTATGACTTACTCCGTGATGTCGGCAGTGTAGCAATGTCAACTCATATATTATACATTTATCAGATACGTTTACCATCATTTACCAATCTTTTTCCGATGTTTTCAAAGCAGCAAAGCCGGATCTCCTCCTCCTCCATGTTTGGGGTGGTAGGACGACTCACTTGGACCTGCACCATAGAACCACAGGAACCACGGATCTGTCCGGCTCATGCGTTTGGTTGCAGAAATGTCAGAAAACCTTTTGGTCTTGCAACATTTGCAACTTGCAATAACTTGCAACTCCATTTTGACAAAATCCAGCCTGGTAAACCAATGCATCCCTCTTGAGCTGCTTGTCTTGAACTGATTGCATCGGAGCCTGACACATTTGCTCAGAATTGGCTTCATTGATGTTCATTGCCACTGCTCTAGGCTTATCCGGGCCAGGATACAGCTCAGCTTTTCTCAAGTGCTTTTCTAAACACGACAAGTCGGCAAGAGTCGTCAAGAGTCGTCAAGAGTCGTCAAGAGTCGTCAAGAGTCGTCAAGAGTCGTCAAGAGTCGTCAAGAGTCGTCAAGAGTCGTCAAGAGTCGTCAAGAGTCGTCAAGTTCAAAAGTTCCATGGTCCATATGGACTTGTTGAGTGTGTTGATCTTGGAGCCTGCGCCATGTGTCACATGACATGGTACGTATCGCCAGAGATTCCAGGCTACCCTGCAGTGGTCGTCGCTGCAATGATATGTCTGGCCTGGCCGCAGCCCGGACGGAGTCTGTGAAGAGGCTAAGGTATGCTAAAGATTGCTAAATTGTGATGTAAATTGTGAAGAGAGCGGATATTTGTGGATGAAATGTCAAGATTGTCAAGCGCAAATCCAAGCGCAGCAAAATCTGTGGCCTGTTCTTTTGATATTGCTGGAACATCATGGAAGAATATGGCACATGGCTACAGTTTCTTTCCTGCAATGCAAGAGCGACTACCCTCAAAAGAAGCTGGCCGCACTTGACCATCTAGTAACTGCGAGAATCTAGTAGTATTAGTAGCACCTAGGAATTTCTCCTCTGACTGTCGAATCTGTCCGCCTCGCGTCCTTTTATTCCTCCAAAGGAGCCCAAATGAAACTCTTTTGGATCCTCGCGGTGGATTGAATCTGTATCTGTACGCATAACAGGTATAACATCTTTGAATAAAAACGCGACAAGACATGAATTGAAATATCTTGAATTGATCACCTCCCGTTCTCGTCTCAATGACAGTTGTTTGTTGCAAGTCTGATGTTTGGCACTGCCTCCATTTGTGGCTAAAAAATGATAAAAGATACGAAAATTCAATGAATTGCATGTGACATGGGACGGACTTGAATCCCACCAGAATCCCACCATGCCCTGTTTCCTGCGGCTTCCAAGGGAGCAGCAGAGGCAGTAAACGCCGCCGGCCCCACGGTTGGGCGATGATGTCACGCTGTGGTCTGCCCTGCAATTCGATGCGGACCGCCTCGATGTCATCAAAACTCAGATCTGAAACTGAAATGATCTGACATCATTGAAATTTGGTTTTGAAATGTTTTGAACAGACTGACATTCAAAGAAAAAGAAAATCTATACATAATACATCCCTGCCTTGGGAGAACTCAAGACCAGCCGTTCGGTTTTTCCGCGGATGACCACGTCCCGCGATTGTGATCGAACAAGAGTTCTCCCTGGCACGGAATCTCAGAGGTGAGTCGTTATCCAAACCGCAAACTTGAAGCATCCCTGAGCACCAAATTTTGATAAAATATGTGTTCCAGAATCAATTATACTGCCATACTTCCATACATTTTGTTTTGGAAAATGGAAGTGACATGTAGTGGCATGTAGTTGTTGTGTTTCTGTGGTGCGTTGACCAACAATGACCAACATCAACGCTGGGCCGCACCTGTGGCACGACCGGCACTGGCACCAGCTGCCCAAGACCGAGACTTCACCAAGGAATGTCCAGAGGTGGTCCTCGTTTTATTCGCCAAGTTGCTTCTGAGATCTTCTGAGATCTTCTGAGATCTTCTGAGATTCTCTATGACGACTTTATGACGACTGTGCTTATCTTGATGTTTAATAATCTTATAAATTCTTGTAACATGTCTGAGATGTTTCATGGGATCTTGGCACCTTGAATTTACCAGGACACCTTGTGATGGACACCAAAAACTTCAGGTAAAACGGATTGAAACACAGAAATACAATGTAGAGAACATCTCAGACTCCAGCATGATAAGGCATGACAGTTGCATAATAGTGGCATGAAGCAGGATATAGCATAGATATTAGCATAGATTATCATTATCATAGCAAATTCTTCCAGACCCGGCGGAATTTTGAAACCCGAACCTTGAAATCCTGGAAGGCCAGCCGAAGGCCTGTGGGGATTTGGGCACTGGGTAACTGCTTTGGTCACAGGTTTGGCCACCAATGCCATCACCAGTCAATCATGTCAATCCCAAGGGCGACAAGGGCGACAAGGACGACAAGGGCGACCGTGATCGATTTTTGCTGCTTGTCTTTGGGACTTTCGTTTCCAATCCCAGAATATCCTGCTGAGAATCCGGGATTCTTTTCTTTGAATCCTTTTGTTTGTTTTGTTTGTGCAATGGCATGAAATGTCTGGGTTGTCTCCCTGCCTCCGAGTCGGTGCGTACCCGCATCATGCTTCTTTCATCCCACCTGCACCACTGATCCAAGTGTGGGAATAGTGTGGAAGTGCTAGTCCAGAATTCCTGAATGCCTTTCCTTACCTCTGATCAATCAGGTTGTGAAGTCTATGCTAGCACAACATGTCTTGATGGAACTGCGCATTTTGTCAATTGCGGCTCAACCTGGCCTAGCGCTGTGCTGAATGCAACCAAGGACCAAGCACGTACTAATGTCCAGTGACATCTGCAGATTCGAACTTGATTTCTAGAAACAGATTCAAGATGATTCAAGTCTCATCCGAGAATCGAGCTTTCTACAGAGATTCCAGAGCTTGAAGATTGAGATCTCGCTAGGTGCCTGGCCAAGCATCAACATCAACTCAACGACATCAGCCATTCCAAGCAGAGGTTCTTCGATGCCATTTTGATGGTCGTGCCAAACGTCAGCATCTGGGCCGCAACCACCTATCTCATCTGCTGCTTTTCACATGACTGGATTTGATGATGTGCTCAGTACACGTTTCAATAACCTTATGGCCTGTGACCCTCCAGCCTCGCAGATTGCAGGGGAAGGCTGTTCAAGTCATCCACTTGAACGTCATCCCTGTGGGGAAGGCAGCTTCAAGCTTATCAAAGCTTATCAAAGCTGTAGGTTATCCACAAACATCATCAAATATCATCAAACATCTACAGAAGAACATCAGAAATCTCCTTCCCGGGATGTGACGTGTGCTCTCTGCTCTGAACCCATGCTGCCGAGTTTCTCATTAAAGAAAAAGGCATCCTGCAAACAGCACGGGATGCAGGGGTTGAAAGAGAAATGATGAACAATTATTAAATTTTATGAACAATTCAGCAAAAATGTAATTGTTTGGCAATATGTTTTCAGGACCACTGGACCACAGAAACCTGGCCCATCCCACCACGGTCCGATCGCGAGAGGCTCTTCCTCATCTCCTGGGTGCTTCAGTTGAAAACTCTCATGTGCTGCAGCCCAGTGAATAACCAGTGAATAACCAGTGATTCTGGATGATTATGGTAAGTACCATGTAAATCATGTAAGTACGATGATGAACCTGGTAAACCTGGTAAAGTTTGGGATGGCATGGGGTATTGCAGCGGACCTTGTAGGCTGCCTCCATCAATTGCTCCTTCGGATCAAAGCTGCAGTCACAAAGTACCACTGGAGTGTTGGATCTCCAACATTCAAAACCAGAGGAAACAAGTGGAAAGCAATGCAACTGGCGCTTTGCTTTTGCAAGGAACCTCGACAGATCCTTCTCAATGCATCGAACTATTCGAACTTCTGCACAAAAATGAAGCCCTTAAATCATCATAAGTCAGAGTAATAGATGATAGTCGTATAAACTACATTAAAATATATTAAAGTAGCCATTAACTCGCTGTGCATTAATGATTCTATCCGTAGGACCTCTGGAGGTAAAACACCCAAAATGTGCCTGGTAGGCGCGCTCCACTGGTGTGCTGGCACCGTCCAGTCGCTTCTGCAGCAATTCCTTGGATGGCAACCCGGCGAAAATTCCAACGAGGTTGGCAGAAAATAGGATTGGAATGGATTGGAATATCTGGAATAGAAACCTAGCCTGCAAACACCTGAGGAAAATGCCATCCGAAATGCACCTGGCATCCAACCAATCAACCAAGCTTCGGCATACGCATCTTCGAAGATTTCAGCCTCACAACTTGCAAACTGCCAGCCTTCACACAACTATTGGTGCGAATTGTTGAGCACCATTCATCCAGCTCCAACATAAACCAAAGGAATGGTCAAAGTATGTCAAAGATGCGATCTATCGACACCATAAATAGCATTAGATAGCCCAACTTTGTTCAACTTAGACACTTCCAGTACTGCTTCAACTGCTCTACTTGCAAATTGCAATCTGACATGCAAGTGATGTTCCTGGCCATACTTCTCCCATCTTCTCCCAACATCGGCCCACCTGTGACTTGGAACTCCGCAAGCTACGTGCGCTCTTGGCACTGCGAAGACTCCGATTTCCAGGCGACACAGGTGGCTGAGACCCACCTGCTCAGGCAAGGCGACCAAAGTGCTAACCCCCATGGCATCTGTTGACCTTAGCCTTCAACTTAAACTCATCATGAATGACCGGAAAAGCAGAGCGCTGATTTTGTCATGTTGTATGCCATATATTACCATTCTGTCAGAGGGTATTCTGTCATTCCTTTGGCCCAACCAGCCGACTGGCTACCACGTGCAAACCATTTCTTGAAGAATTTCAACATCTGTGGAGCTAACATGTTTACTGTCTGTTTACTGTGCAAACTGTGCCCCCGCTGAAATGCCCGTTGAACTTGTGAGATCAGTTCTGACCGACCCAACTTTAGCTGCGACAACATCCAAGGCACTCTGCCGTGGTGACGCCGAGTTCACTTGGACTCGGCAAGGAGAAAAACAACTAGGGAGAGTCGTGGCTCAGGAAGGGTCCTATGATGTTGTAATATGTATAATATATAAGTATATAATGTATGATATACAATTCTAGTGATAACATGTGATAACACGAATGACAAGTAAAGGACAACTGCATCATAATTTGATGACCATGATGATGATCGTCACCCCCAGCACCACCATCATCATCCATCATCACCATCTCCAACCACAACCCCCAGCATCATGCTGAATCATGTTGAATCATGTTCAATGTAGTTCAACTCCCTTCGTGCTTGTACAACGTTCTCAGCACCAGGAAAAAAAACACAAAACGCTGAGCACTGCTAAGCCCCCACACCCACGGGGAACTCTGCAAACTCGTCATCAAGGCCGCCCAAACCAGAACGCTCGCCTCCGGAACTGAGAGCCTAGTTCTGGTGTGCCGCAAATGGAGATATGAAAGGGCCCAAAGAGAACAAGCATCGCATGAGATTCTCAAAGATTCTCATAGATTCCCCTAATCAAACAGCGGCACCATCTACATCCCAAAGCCAAAAGCTGGCAATCTCCACACCTTCGCTGCGACGATCCTCAGCATCTTGCTCTCCTGGAAAACACATCGGTGTCATAAGCAAAGCGGCAAAGCGCAATCTCATTTAATAGTCGAAGGCAGTTTAGAAGTCGAACTTCCGACAATATGGACAGGAAAAGCAGAGGTGGGAAGGGTCAGAGAGAGCGAAAGAGGCAGAAGAAAGAAGATGCAGGTGCGCGAAAAGGTAGGAAAGTCGCAAAACACTGTGGTTTTCCACTGATTTGTGGCTCCGGAGGGTCGAAAAGTAGGTTTGCTAAAGCTGAAAAGTTGCACGCCGTTGTGGCGCGAAGCACATTTCCAAGTCAAAATGTACAAAACACACCATTGTCGGACCACTTTTGGAAGTTGAGATGTCGAAAAAGTGCACGCCGTTGTGGCGCGCAGCACATTTCCAAGTAAAAATGCACAAAGCACACCAGGTTCGGACCACTTTTGGAAGTTGAGATGTCGAAAAAGTGCACGCCGTTGTGGCGCGCAGCACATTTCCAAGTCAAAATGCACAAAGCACACCAGGTTCGGACCACTTTTGGAAGTTGAGATGTCGAAAAAGTGCACGCCGTTGTGGCGCGAAGCACATTTCGAAGTCAAAATGTACAAAACACACCAGCTTCGGACCACTTTTACTAGTTGAGATGTCGAAAAAGTGCACGCCGTTGTGGCGCGAAGCACGTTTCGAAATCAAAAGTGTAAAAAAACTTGGATTCAGAGCACTTTTGGAAGTTGAGATGTTGAAAAAGTGCACGCCGTTGTGGCGCAAAGCACATTTCGAAGTCAAAATGTACAAAACACACCAGCTTCGGACCACTTTTACTAGTTGAGATGTCGAAAAAGTGCACGCCGTTGTGGCGCGAAGCACGTTTCGAAATCAAAAGTGTAAAAAAAACTTGGATTCAGAGCACTTTTGGAAGTTGAGATGTTGAAAAAGTGCACGCCGTTGTGGCGCGAAGCACATTTCGAAGTCAAAATGTACAAAACACACCACGTTCAGACTACTTTTGGAAGTTGAGATGTTGAAAAAGCGCACGCCGTTGTGGCACGAAGCACCTTTCGAAGTCAAAATGTACAAAACACACCATGTTCAGACCACTTTTGGAAGCTGAGATGTCGAAAAGTGCGCGAAGCACATTTCAAAGTCAAAATGTTCAAAACACCACATGCTCGGACCGCCTTTGAAGGTTCAGATGTGGTTTTGCGTGGTAGGCGCAAGGGATTCTGCACCTTGCCAAAAGTGTGCAAAACGTGAGGGTTTTGTGGCATTTCCAAAAACGATGGCAGGCGTGGGAGATTTGCAGAGGATCTGCAAAGGTGCATTTCGCGTGGCAGGCGCAGTACAAGAGACATGTTCATCAGATTTCTTGAGATGAGCTGCCTTTTGGAGCATCAGATCTGTAGGTTTGCTAAGATGTTTTTGCGTGGCAGGTGCAGCACTTCGTATGACCTGGCATCAATTTTTCGTGGCAGGCGCAATACTTTAGAGACATAGACCAGAAAAATCGCAGAGACAGAAATAGGATGATGGATGGGCGGCTGCATGGACAGATAGAGAGCTAAGCAGATAGATGGAAAGAGAGAGAGAGAGAGAGGCGAGAGAGAGAGAGAGAGAGAGAGAGAGATGGATAGGTTGACAGGCAGATAGATCAGTAGAGAGAAAAGAAGGATAGATAGATGGATGGATGGATAGATAGATTGACAGATGGATAATTCGACATTCAAACCACCTTTTGGTCCATCAGTGGATTCGCTCTGCCATCCGTGATTCACAACAACCAATCTCCCCTATAGGTTTCCTATTTTTGAAACTTCCGCCACCGCCTTGTGCGGTACTATTGGTATTTAATACCTCTCCACATTGCAGAGATGACGTTGTGGGATTATGCGGTCATCTACGATCTGTATTTGTCATATGAACACTGCGCAACCCATGTAGCCTGTCCTGGCACAGTCTGGAGGTCGAAGAAAGTGACTCCTGGCGGCTCCGCTGTAAATTGCTGTAGCACAACATCAAAGTCCAGCTGCCACTCCAGCCATTTCACATCCCAAAGAACGCTCTATGAGGGCAACAGGGCAGTTGGAGATGACAAATATGACAAGTCTTGATGAACTGATGAACAGTTCTCCGAAGATCTCCAGAGGTTCTCCACGGTTCTCGATGGTTCTCGGGTTCTCCTCGACTGGGGCTTTCAGAAACTCCTGAGGAACTTCGCTGAGCGGCCGGCTCGACCCGCCTGCCTGGTGAGGACCAAACAATCCAGAGCTCTCAAATCGGGACATGTGATTTATTATTAATGATATTTAAGGCAGGTAGAAAAGCGCAGGGTCTTCGATGGTGCTGTTTCATCGCAGTCGACAAGATACATACTACACTACTACTCTTCTACATACTCTTATTCAAGTATTCAAAACATGGTGTTCTGTGTGTGTGTCCTGGGAGAAATTGTAAGTCCAGTGTCAACTTCACCTTATCATCTGCAGAATGAAAACTTGTCCCATGACGTGTGGATTCACGTGTTTCACTCCTTTTCCCATAGTTTGATCCCGGAATACCTGTTTCCACCCAACCGGGAAACACAAGCCACTGCCTCAAGGCATCATTCTCAACACTTTCAAGCCAACTAATCGCTGACAGAAGAAACATGGGAAACCCGACGCTTACTCAGTGTAATTCCAGAATGACTTGTTGCTCTGGTCCGTTACTCACCAAGCAGGATAGTCATGGAATTGCCAACATTGCACTGAAGCTCCTCCCAGCCTGTGTGCTCTGACGGCAGCGGACTCGAAGTTGTTTCCCGTCCATGTCCTGCAAAGGAATGCCCATTTTTCTTCACACGGGTCAATCTGTCTGCAGCGAAAAGTGGAAGAACGCATCGACTGAATCTCTCTGCCCTGCACCACAACAGACGTGCTAACATGTTGAAACAATTTGAAACATGTTGCTGTCAAGAAAAGTTGGATGAAACTGGTCCAGAGTTCACTTTTCTAGGACACCCATCCGACCCGTCAGGTCCACATCCCGCTTCCCTTGTCACGCCCAAACAATTCCCAACTGCTTCTGCTTCCCATGGATCCTTGGCGTGACGTCATCGGAAGGACTGGAGGACCGGAAGAACCTGGAGAAGCTGCGTCATCCATCGTCTCGTCCAGGAGGAAGTTGGGAGCAGGTGGTGGAGCGGAACCTGGCAGGTTTTCTCGTCCATGGCGGTGCGTCGTGCTTTTTGACAGGTAGAACTCGGTAGAACTGTAGAATAAAACAAAATATTCTCTAAAATATGAAGAACCAGATGAAGAACAGAATGAAACTGGGAGATGTAAATACCAGTCCTAGCCTCTACATGGTTTTTGGACCCAAGGTGGCCGTGTGGGTGTGCACTGGCACTTTTGTGTCCGGTTGTTGTGTTTGCCTTGTTTTTGCGTCGTTTTTTGAAAATTAAAAAGTCCCACACTTACATGCTACCACCACTACTACATGCAGAGTCTTGACAATCCAGGTCTTCAATCTCCTTGTCCACTTTCCTAGTGTAAAACCGACACTGATCTATGCTGGTCTACAAGGCCAAGAAGGCAAGCTGTGACTCTCAAAATAACGCCATTATATGCCATTGTCACACCCTGTCACCACTTGTTTCTCCTTCACCTTTAGATGCCTTCGGATGCCTTCGGTGGGATCCTGTGCTTTTCTGGCCTCTGGACGAAGGTCTTGGCTGGCTCAAAGCAGACAAGCGCCCTGGCAGAGATAAACTGAGCGCCCTGATCAGCTCAAACTTCATCCAGAACTGATCCATCCTGGTTACTGCAGAATCGCCAGAGCAGCAAGTCCCTTTTTTTATCGCATGTTCAATCCAATGTTCCAACTTTGGAGAAGATTGGAATGCTCAAGAGACCGTGTCAATCCGTAGACTGATAAAAATGGGAATGAAATGCAACAACACACCTAGACCTAGACAAGGAAATGGGGGGTGTCCTGCGACTCCTGCGACCGGGGAAGCACTCCCCAACAAGTCCATTCCTTCCAGTGCTAGATGCATTGACTGTACAAATTGACACCACCTTTTGTGAATTCAAGACTGAAACGGTATGAATATGAATTCCCATAAGTCCATACCCCAAAACTGTACTAAAACTGAAGCGCTGAGTTCAAAGGAGTGCAAAGGATATTTCATGCTATTTCTTTGAAACATCGAAAGCATGGACCGCAACCTGTACAAAGGTCCACAGGGTTGTGCACAAGTACCTGGCCACCTACTGGGCCTCAAGATAAACACATTTTGGATGGCTAAATATGCAGTGGTAAGGTTGCTGGAGGCAGCTCTGATTTGTAGAAGTGTTTTTCGCACGTCTTGCGGCAATGCTTTTGGAGTAGCAGCAAGCAGAACAGGCAGCTGCAGATAGCTGCAGGCAGCGCTGGTTTTGTGAGCGAAGTTGGTTCCGGAAGTTCCTGTCGTGGTACTGGCGCTGTGTATTTTTCCTCGCTCAAGCGTCACCTCGAAGGTCGACTTGTACACAAGTATTGCGTCTTGTGGGGCTGTAAGAACGCTGCATCTCTCCCAGGCCACACACGGCATCGCTGCATTTAAAAAATGGTAGGAAATTGTTTCGATACTTTTTTATTTTTTGGGTTTAGCTTAGGGATTTTTATTCCTGGCCGTGCCAATTTTCCATGCTCTTTGCAACATTTTGGAGCTGGAACCTTTCATTTTGCATGCTATTAGGCTTTGCACAGCATTTTAAAGCTAGAGCCTTCCATTTTGCAGACTATTTGCAGCATTTTATAGTTGGAACTTTCCTTTTCGTATGCTATTTGCAACAACATTTGGAAGCTGGAACCTTCCATTTTGCGTGCCAGTTGCAACCTTTTGGGAGCTGGAACCTTTGATTTTGCATGAATTTGCATATATTTGCAACATATTGGAGCTGGAATCTTTCATTTGGCATGCTACCAGTATTTGCAAATTGTTGTTGGTTGTTGGTTGTTGGTTGTTGTCTGTTAGTTGTGGGTTCTTGTTTGTTTTGTTATTCTTGTTGCAGTTGTAGTTGTTGTATAGTTGCTGTAGTTTTTGTATTGTAGCTACAGCCGTAGTTGTAAGTTGTAATAGTAGTTTCTTGTTGTTGTTGGTTTTGTTGTTGCTGTTGCTCTTGTGGTTGTTGTTGGGGGGTGGTGTAGCTGGAGGAACACGCCAAAAACTGTTGTTGTTGTGGTCTTGGTTTGGGTGTAGGCCGTGTTTGTGATTTCCTTGCGCTTGTGGCTTTGGTTCTGGTGAACAGGTTTACAAACAAAGCCATGAAGTCAAGAAGCCCGTAAAGCTTTTTGCAAAGCCAAGAAGAAAGAAAACTAGCGAAACCATCAAGGCCAAAAAGGCAGTTTGCGTGGTATTTTCAATATTTTCAGCATTCTACAACTTCAACCTGCATTGTGGAGATAGAACCTCTCACGTTGCATGGCATCTGCGACGTTTGGAAGATAGAACCTTTCATGTTGCATGGTATTTGCAGGATTTAGCAAATGATATGTGCAGCATGGCTACTTTCCAGTTTGGTTAATAATTGAAGCATTGTGAAACTTTAACTTCTTAACCAGCTAATTTACATCATGGTCTTTACACCAACGCAAAGCAACCAAAAAGGGCAAAAACGAAAGCATGCAACAACAAAATAGAAACAGCTGGAGGGGGGCATGGTTGCAGTTGTAGTTGCTCCGGTTTCTCTTGCTGTTCATGTTGCTCTTGTTACATTGTTGCCGTTGTTGCGTTTGTTGTTCTCGTTGTTCCTTTTGTATTTGCTGCTCTTGTTGTTTGTGCTGCTGGTGCGGTTCTTTATGTAGTTGTAGCTGCACTTGTAGTCAAGCAGAACGACAAGGAAGCAAGTAGATAAAAAGCAACGAAGGCAGAAACAATACAAAGCAGAGAACAGAAAACAGAGAAACAAAAAACAGAAACAAACAAGCAGAAAAATAGAGAAGCAAAGAAGCAGAGAGGCAAACAAAAAAAGTACGAGTAGAAGCAAAAATAAATAAAAGCAAAAATCCAGAGAAGCAAAAATGCAGAAAAGCAAAAAAGCAGAAAAGCAAGAAAACAGATTCAGAAAAGCAAAAAAACAGAAAAGCAGAGACGCAAAAACAACAAAACAACAGAGAAGCGGCGTAGAAGCAAAAAAAACAGAAAAGCAGAGAAACAAAAAAGCAGAGAAGCAAAAAAAACAAAGCAGAAGAGCAGAGAAGGAAAAGGAAAAAACAGAGCAAAAAAGCAGAAAAGCAGCACAGCAGAGAGGAGAGAGACATCCAAAAAAAATCCTAAACTAAAAAGTAATGCCCTAAATAAATGGCCCTCCTTGAAAAAAAGCAGCCCGGCAGACCATCCGTTAGGCCCGACGCAGGGGTGTCCGTTTCCTGGTGAAGGCACTTCCGATTGGAATTCAAATGATAGGCTTGGAGACTCCCCCACAGCACAGTGCGTTTAAGGATCTGCAGCCCTGTAAACCACAGAGCTCCGTAAACCATCTGCGTTTTGTGACCGAACCCCATAACCACACCGGCTTAAGGATGATGTCCCGGTAACAACATTGCGCTTCAGGGTCTTGAGAAAGGATGCATGTTTCCTGCAAGAGGATTCTTCGATGGTTGCACGTTTGAATTATAAAGGGACAGCAACGCGTCAAACCACAGGCGGATGGTTTAGGCCTTCAACACATAACACCATGACGCACATTTGTGCTAAGAAAATGTAAGAAAAAATGCCTAGCATCTTGCATTTTTGCGGGTGGCATAGTTCCGCGATCTTCTGAGGCTTCAAGAGTCTTGGCTTAGTCGGAGGGGTGTGCGACAGAGATGTGAGTGTCCCTATTATAATATTTCTGAGTTTTCAGCACATACTGAAATCCAACTGGTGCCCCCCATGCTCGAAAATGCAGGTGGTAAGAGCCTTGTGTTGTGTAGAATCAGGAACCGTTCTTCTACCTTCCCCCCATCCCTTGCGCACAGCCCAAATCTACCTTGAACAAAACTGTACACCCTAAACAAAGCTTCCAGACGTCTCCATGCTTCGAATCAAGCAAGTGTGAGCAGCAAGTACAGCTGGATCGGGATGGCACAATGCCACAACACCAATGAGCGTGTTCCAATCCTCAACTTCGGGGACTGAACAATTTCTCAAGAAAGGACAGGAACAATCCGTAGCAACTACAAACATCTCATAGCATGTCCGTCTTCATTCCGGCTTCTTGGGCGCAAATTAGATTTTCAGTTTGACTTGCAACATCTTACAACACTGTCACTGTCCTTTCGCCGACTTGCAACTGAGAATCGGTTGTTTTACACATCATTTTATCCAGCTCCACATTCAGGGCAACATCTGTAAACGATGATAAGCCACGGACAGCCTCAAGCCCTGGCATCGCCGTATCAGTGATGAGACGCTCTTCGTAGGAGATCAAGTGAATGATGTCGCCAAACATCAAAAATGTCGGCGTGTTGGGCAGTGCATCGAAAGCCTCCTGTCAAGGTCCAATCTCGTCAGTTGGGAAAAAACATTCGTCCAAACCGAGTCTCTCTGGCCCTTCTACAAATTCTACAAATATGAATATATTTGATTCCAAATTGAAGTAGTCTGAAATCAGTGGAATCCCCCATTCTCTTTGTTCTCTTTCCCAATTTTCCCTGAGGCTGCATCGAATCATCAGCTCTCCTGTCTCAGGTAGGCACCAATGACGGCATCAACTTGGCTGTAGCCAGTCATCTTTCGGCACAGGGGCACCCAAAAGCCCGTGCCACCCTGACATCGACAGTTCACCTGCACCAGAAACAGACAAACATCATCAAACGTCCCAAACGTGCATTTAAAAAACATGTTTTCGCATCAGGATCAAGAAACTTCAAGAAACATTGCAAAATGTATCAAGATATATCAAACATGATCAACACGTTCGGCCTGCAAAATGTTCAAAATGCTCATATCATCTCATATCTTTCCGATCTTTCCCCTGGGATCCCCCGGTGTGCACCTCCACCAGGCAAGGTCCGCCCGAGGTCCACATCACTTCAGTATGGCTTGCACCGTTCCGGACACCCAAGGCGTTTAAACACTGCCGCGTATAGGCAACAAGCTCCGCCATCGCAGACGAATCACAAGGGACTGGCCTTTGTGCAATGCAAACACGATGCCCGTTGACTTCCTGGAAGTCGTACATCCACAGCATGGTCGTCTTGTGCACCCCATCACAGGAAACGTGATCAACTATGTACTCTGTTCCCTCGAGAAATTCTTGTAACAGAACACCGCGGCCTTGTGCACCACACCAGCGATCGGAACTGTTTAAGAAGTCAAAGTGCTCACGTGCCTCGGCACACAAGAATCCCAGTATCCATTGCAACTCTTGCAGACTATTTCGCACTTCCACCAACATCCGTATCATTAATCTTATTAGAAGTTTCAAGCCGAAACACGCTATCATTACTTAATCACTGTTGTGGTTTCCCGCCTCGTCCATGGAGTCACACAACTTAAAGCCATCTGCACCAGCTGATTCGATGGGTTTCACAACCAAAGGGTATTGCTCCGTCTCCGCAAATGCAGCGACCTGAACCATCTGAAGCCCACTTGCGACAGAAGTCTTTCCCAAACAAAAACATTGCAGCAAACACCCTAGTGTTTCATACTGTTTCTTGATTTAGAACTTAAATTCATACTGAAAAAAACATCCAAAGGATTGCAAAGGACCTAACACGACGTTCTCACCAGCCTGTTCCCATGTGGTTCCGCTCACTGTGCGTGCAAATCTCAGACCGGCTGCTTCCAACGCCTGGTGTTGCACCAGTTTGTCTCGACGATTGCCATGGCCGAGGCCATTGCCGCGCAAATCCAGTGCTTCGCTCAGGGCATCTGCGGCGTGGACGCCGCTGTCGCCTCCGCAAATCACAGCTGCCAAGCTACCGCTAACGCTATCAACCACCTCACAGGGCCACGGGGTCCAGCGTGTCCCAACGGGGTCCAACGGGGTCCAATGGGGTCCAACTGGGTCCAACGGGGCAACGTGTTCCAACGCGTTCCAACGTGGACACAGATTTTCCGATAGCCTTGAAGACTTAAATTGCTGTTGTCTTGGCTACCTTTGTTGCATTGGTTGCATGTTGTTGCATTCTTTCCAAATGTGCCTTTCAAGTTGCACAAGAGAGTCACATCATAAACTGTAAAGCCGCTCTCGCCTTCATCTTTTTGATTAGGGCTGCGTTCTCCAGTTCGCCAAATAGAAAGTTTTGCCAGTGGCCAAACAGAAAACGGCTTTAGCCTTCAAATTCTATTCCGATGGAACATGATGGAACCCTGGCCCTGAGACCCATCTATACCCATCTCCATTGAGAATCGAGAAATCAAAGTCACAAGTCCAAAGGTGTCTGGTGTCCCTAGCGAATTAGAACAAGTTTTGTATCCGGATTTGATAAAACCAAAATCCTGGAGATTGGGAAGCCGAAGCAAGAATTGTTTTCCAACGCGCTTTCCACTGGAGCGGACTCGCACCCCGGATCGAGATGGATCGAGAACGTCGAAAAATTTCGATCAAGAAATCGCGACACATGGCGACAGCATGCGACAGCGTGGTCCCACACCCGGCACACCCGGCAGTCCAAAGCGAAAGCCACGCCTCGCGAAGTCGAGCTGCTGTGGCTTCCACGGTTGGCTCTTCGTCCAGCTCTGCCAAGAGTTGTCTGGGATCGAAAATCTTCGGATAATCCTGGGGAAAACAAGGAAAAATAGCTCCGAACCCAGCATGTATACATCGTGTTAGTGTAAAATACTGTGAGAAATGGATAATTCATGTCAATTCCAAGTCCCAGACATGCTTTACGGCTTTACCATTCTTGGAAGATGTTTCGCAATCTTTCGCAAGTCAACTAGGAGCATCCACAAAGTGCTTAGTGATGCTCAGTGCGATCCGAGCATCGTGATACCGGATATTGGATTCCTTGGTCCACAGCGCGATAACGGCACAGCCTTGGCTCAATAGCTCTGCTGCCAAAAATCCTCCAGTGGAGAATGGATCCACCACAACCACCACCTCTGCAGCTCCACTTTGAGCATTTGCATTGGGCGAAACTTCGACAGGTTCGGATGGAAGTCTCTGGAGTTTTAGGAGGAGGAGAGGCGAGAAAACGACTAGAGCCACTGCACAGAGCCCTGCAGCTATGCAGAAAGTGTATTGGTAGCCGTGCTTGTCCAACAGCTCTCCAGCAATCACGGCGGCCCCACTCCAGGACACGTTCAATACCTCGGCACGCCGCAACTTAACATTCCAAGTGGCTTGCGCCATGATTTTCTGCTTGGCGTGCTAGACTTGGTGAGTTCTCTATCTCAAAATGTCCTTAAATTGTAATCTTCTGCCTATCATACAGCGCCATCTTACATAGAACGACTGTCATCCTTCTTTATCCCTTCGAAGTGTGAACTGCGTTATTTCTTGGGATTTGACGTCTATCAATGAAGCGATCTTCCCATTTTTTGTACAGTTTTCTTTGGGATTTTTTGAGTCACCGAGATTTGCTGAGGCCTGGGGATCACTGTCCTTTGCAAGCAACAAATCACTCCACTGACTCCACTGCCTCCCTCTTCGGAAGAAAGATACAGTACAGATCATTACAATTATACAGACATGATATTTGATTTTTGAGATTTCCGAAAGTGTTTTGCTACGATTTTGAATCATGGTTCAACATAGTCTCCACACTTTCAGATCTTTCAGACCCAAGATACGGTACAGCTGCTGCTCCATCTACCCCTCTGGGATGCAGGTACGCAATCCATCAAGATCGCCCAAGCAAGAGCAAAAGATGCTTGGGCAAGGCTTCCTCGGAACATAAAGAGAGCCAATGATGATAACAGATGCGTTCCTTCCTCTCTTTGTATCGATAGGCCAAGGAGGCATCCAATGACCCCGACCATACAGAGACTGGTGGCTTCGGCTCGACCAACCACCGGAGCACAAACACCCACCAGGTAGGTGAAGCAAGCCTTCACCAAGGGCTCAATGGCTTGAACCACGCTGATCTGGACAACAGACATGCCATAGATGTTGATGAAGAAGAGGGGGAAAAATTTGAAGACCATCCCTGCGGCCAGTGCAAGAATCAACAGTGCCAACAGCACCACATAGGGTACCCAAGCTCTCCCTGTCTTGATCTCTGTTTGGATCTCTGGTTGTTCGGCTGGCAGGTCCTTTGACTCTTTCTGAGCTTGGCGGAAAGTAAACAGAGACAGCATCACAGGGACGAGCAAAGCAAAACCCGCCAAAAGAGCTGACTTGGTCTGGAAGCCCGTCCAGTCTTCAGGAGCCTCAGGAGCCTGGTGCTTTCGAGGACATTCGAGGACTGGTGTTGGTTGGGGTATGCTGGTCGGATTTTAATACTTGGGGGATCCCACGCTCAAGCCAATACTCAAGCCAGTCTTCATGCCATGTTCGCCATGTTCTGCTCTTCAAAAACCATATTTCTTTTATCTTCTTTTCTTATCTGTTTAATCTGTTTCGGCCTGAAAGTAGAGCAAAGTCAAGCCGTAGATGGCAGAGCCCAAAGCCGTCCCCAAGTTTTGAAAGACCTGGACGTTGGCGAAGGCAGCTGTCCGTTGATCCAGGCTCCGCGACGCCAGGCTGTCCGTGAAGATCGCCATGGCAAGACAGCTAGCGAACTCAGCAAAGATCACGAATGCCACCTGGCCGAAGATCCACAAAATACATCAAAATGTGAATCAAAATGCATCAACATGCATCAAAATATGTGGAATCAACAGCTGTCTTTGTGCTCCAATCTTGGAATTGAGATGTCCATCTCAATACCTCAATGTTTGTCAAATATGATCAAATATGTCTGTTTTAAAGTCAAAACAGCAAAGGTCGCGGAGATTGGTGATTTGTATTGATTTGTGCCATCAGGGGACTTGCATGATGGTCAGCATCCACAGCCGCCCACTGAGAATCGCCAGCACACCAATCACAACTGTGGGACAACCGAGACCCAAGGCCACCCAAGCAAGCCGGGTTCGACTGGCAGGTCTCCAATCCACTACGCAACCAATAGGAAATGCAACCTGGACTTGCTCTGATTCAAAAGATATCGGAGGATCTGCTGTGAATAAGGCTTTTGCGGATGGCACAACATGGCAGTTTCCCAATTTTCAGTAAAGGCTCTCATTTGACCTTTCACTCACAACAAGAATATGACTAATCTCATCTTGAAATATCTTTGTACGGTTACCTTTATATACCTTTATAATCTTTATAACAATATCTCTACATCCGATCTTTGACACCGGCCTCACTCCAACATCTCCAATCCAAGCAGTCCAAGCAACCAGTAATTTGGTGACGCCAGCAATGCTCTCCAGGGTGCCCACAACCAAGTTCCCATGGTGTGGAGAGATGCCTTCAGCCACTTTGAAAATGTACTCGTCCAGATATTGGCTCTGCGCCAGGGACTGCACCACTTGAAGAATGAAGGAGAAACCATACCTGCTTCACGGGCTTCCCCCAACAAAAAGGCTGACAGCTGACATGCTCTGGGTAGACTCACAAGATCTGACAAGCGCAATTGACAAATCCATTTTCACAACAACACAACAACCAGAAGCGAGATCAGCTTCTTCAAACAGCTGAGGTGCATCACCCTCACATTTACCGAAGAGTTAGTAGAAAGCCGAGCACCCATATTGGTTCTCGCAAAGCTGACCACAAACTGCTCACTGTGAAAGCCAAAACTGCGCTGCGCGAAGAAAGGGTGACTGCAGCGGCTTTGGGAGCCGGAGCCCAAGGATGTATGACCAACAAAAAACACATCTCTCTTTCAGCGGAGCAATTGCAAATCCATTAAGCCGTCATTAAGCCGTCATTAAGCCATTAGCAAAACCCGAAGTGTTGGCAAATGTTCATGATCTTTCGATTCCATGTTCTTCTCTTCGAAAATTCACCCTGTGCAACAAGTTGTCTCAAGTTCTGTCCTGCACGTGCGCTTAATGGACTGCCTGGGCTCGATCCTGGAGTTGAACGGCGTGCAGCGGCATCCCAAAACTGTTTTTGTCAATCAGACATACATAGATAATCATATAAATATATACTAAAACACGAGAATCGTTCTTCGTCCCTATCGTCTTTAACAAGGGCATTCTACTGCTACCCAACCAGTTGAAGGTAAGCAACTAGTTCTGCCAGCTGTTCATGTTGCAGCAACCATGCAAATCTTGAATACGAAAATTCTGCAGTGTCCATCTCTGATGCCCCACAGCCCATGCTGCCCCTGAATCCTCCCAAAAGAATTTGATCGATGTTCAAATGGAAATGCTCAGTTCGGGCGAAAAAATCTATTGTGACCCTCGCGCGCCTCATGAAATTCATGAATATCGGCATATATTGGTTTGCGAGGTAATAGATG